TGGGGAAAATGCTGCCAGTGGCTAGAACCTTATTTAGATAGTAAATCCTTCAGCATAGGGACTTTCTGTACCTATGTATATGTAAAGTGCCTAGCACAATAGGGCCCTGATTTTGGTCGCGGCTCTTAGACATTAGTGTAATATAATAAAATAGCTTAATGTAATTTGTAAAACAAATATTGTATATATTCATGCAATGTTTGTGCAGATATTTGTCTTTTCATACACAGGCAGTTTTCAATATTTACATAAATCCCTTTTGTTGCTTATTATTTTGTTACACCCTAAAATGTGCTAGAACCTGCACACAAGACTTAGAACAACATAATCCTTGCTCCTAAAATCTAGATGTCAGACATGACACAATGAGCAGCATGACAAACAGAAGAAAGCAGATGGGGTTATACAGCGATATGGTCACGGTTGCTCATGACAGCCGTATATTAACTGAATAAATTCACAATATCATTTTAATATATTAAAAGTTTATTTTTTAAAACAAATGATACAATGCAACATAAAGTGTCTACTGCAGCATGACAAAATAAGCTTTATACCATTAATGTTACTCTTCATTAGAAATATTTTGAATATACTGTATACTGGGTTCCATTATGAGACTGTTCATCTGAGTAAGAACTGCAAGATGGAGTCCTATAGCATTTGATGTGGCTCTGCAATTCTCAGTTGTTCAAACACTATGGGTCAGAACCTTAGGTGGTGGCCATCTGCTGGTTTATGCCAATTTATGATATGCATCTCTCTCTTTTCATCAAATCTCTATAAGACTTTTAATTACTATTAAACATTTCTATTGTGGTAGCTCCTAAAGGCCTCAAGCAAATTAGGTTCTCGTGTGCTAGCTGCTGTCCAAACACAGAATGAATAACATTCCCTGCCCCAGAAAGCTTACAATCTAAACAACAAGATATAACAAGCACACTGAGGTGACAAATGTGTGCAATTCTTAGCAAGATTCTTTATTAATACCTGCCCACAAGTAATAATTGTTCTCGATTTACATTCTAATATATAAGCATATTATAAAATAAAGGTGTAGGACAAGTGAAGGGCCAGATCCCATAGAACTGGGCCCAAAGTCTGTACCTATTTTATGTACTGGTACTCTTTTTTACCACACCCTTCAGTTCTGAGGGCTACTTATTGTTAGTATAGTTCCAAAGGTGTATAGGGTGCTCCACAGATGGATAATAACAGATGTGTCCCTGCTCCAAAGAGCTTACAATCTAAGGGCTCCTACAAACACTGCTGGGCATAATGCTTGCTACCGTTGAGAACCCAGCTTCCTCACTAGAATAAGTAATATGTCTGGTGTCAAGTGTTTGCAGGATTGGGCCTGAAATTTGATTTTACACAGCAAGGAATGACCAAACAAAAGATCAGGGCATGGTGAACATGGATTATAATAGCAAAAGGTGATAAGTTTATTGTTACATGTGCATCTTGAAAATTCCTCATTGGATTTGTATTTTAATTAATGTAATACATTAAAATTGAACAAGAGCTCAATTACTGAAGGTAGAGACTTTAGATTACAGTAGCCATCTCATAGTACACAAATGTCACACTAACCAGCAGTCAACAAGTGTTTGTACTTCACTAGAAATACTGTTTAAAATATCCTGAGCCTGATTCTCCTATTAATAGAAGCTGCAGATGCTCAGCACTTCAAAAGTCAATCTACTTTTACTTAGGAGCCTAAATATGGATTTAGGCACCCATGTTACAAAATGTTGGCTTTACTCTTTCATCAGCCTTGATTAACTGTGACCCAGTGTTTCATTCCAGCAAGGCAATAAAAAGTTTGATTCTATTTTCATGATGAATTCCTAGGAATTATTTTAAAAATAGAGAATTTTCTCCTCATTGAGATAAAAAGTACATTTAAAAAGAGGACCCATTATAACTAGCATATCATAAGTAACAATATATATATATATAAATACCACACAGTCATCTGTCACTCTAGAGTTAAAATGAATAAAGAAGCTGAATTATGTAATATTCACAGAATTATTCAAGTTTATCATCTGTACTACAAGAAAAATATGGAGTTGTGTGGTGCCTCTCAATTTTTTATTATTTACTATAATTGTATTTATTATTAATTATTATTATTATGTGAAGCAATTTTCCTTTATTTCAGGATTCTCTGCCTGAAGTACATCTTGGTGTCTTTATTTAAACTATAAATACTGGACTGTTAGTTTCTCACCTGGTCTATTTTTATCAGGGAAATATTTAACATACTCAGCAACAGTATTTTAATATCCAAAATAGATAACATGGCTGTTTCCCCGGCTTGAGTTTTTGGTGCTGAGTCTTACATTTAAAATACAACCAGAATGATATTTACCCCTTGAAAGGTTGGCATGTTCATTTTAAATAATTGTCACTATGCTTTCCTTCATTTCCCCACATCTCCAAGGATTCATTCTCACAAACGCAAGTGTATCCTGTTTGAGAATGGCCATAAAGGTGAGTAACTATAAAAATACAGGCAGCTGAACTGTGATTTATCATTTCATTTTTTCCTTCATTAGAACCTTCAATTTTTTAAAATTAATTTTTACAAAAGTTTACAGATACTTCTACTATGCTTGCCAGCCTGTTCGCATCCCACCTGTGGAGTTGGCCTTTCCACAGGCAGCATTACTGCTCATATTTAGCAACTGTGGCACCACTGGTGCCAGTTTTAGCACAATGGGGGATAAGCAGACCAGAAGCAGCGATGGCAGAAAGATTTTGTAGATAATACTACGCGATCACATTTTCATCATTTTATAGCACGGGAAGATGAAATTTTACACTGTGTTAGCTAAACTGGAATACTTGGTAGGTATAACAAACTAGTTATGAAATAGCGTAGTCACAGAACAGTGATCACAGGTCATTCAAGGGGATTAATGTTTAGCATTGTCTCTTAAATCCAATATCAGAAAAATAAGGTTCAATGCTTTAAAAATAAAGGTCATGGACTCTTTATATGTTACGTTAACCATATGATTCTGGCGTATCCAGCTGCTCTTCCAACCCTCTGACTCCTGACTTTTCTGAAGAGACTTCTGGTCTCTAACAGGAAGCACTATTCTGGCACAATTAATTTCCCTTCTCTCTTTTCTTGTGTTTCTAACACTCATTTTTCTGTCTTCAAAATCACTGGGAAAGAACCCAGAATAGAAATAAAGGCCAAAAGGCTGTGGCAGGGATGAGACAATGAAGGCCTGAAGAGTTTTAAGTATATTGTCCAATTCACCACTATCCAGAACCATTCTCAGCTTTTAAACAGTTTGACAACAGGTTATTTCAAGGCTGTAATGCATGTTCTATGGCCAGAGCAGCAACATTAGTGAAAACGGTTTAGACATCAACAAAAGATGAATTTGTAGGGCTTGCTAGACATTTTTTTCCACTATCTTAGTCTCCAAGACCCCAAATCCTGCAAGTTACAAAGCTTGGGTGACCTCTGTGCCTATGCAAAGCCCCACTGGCATCAAGGGGTTCCATGTGGGCACAGGGGTCTGCCTGCATGGTTCTGCTTGCAGGATTGGGTGCAAAAAAGACTAGTGTAAAGCCTGGCTTCCTAGCAAACTGTGAAAGGATCCAAGTACAGTCCAAATAAAATGATTTTGTGTTATTGGGAGAAAGCTCTGAAAATTCTGATAGTTTCTCACGAGCAAAAGAAAAATGGCTCCAGATAAGTGATCTGTATATGCTGGCAAACCTAGATTTGGTGAGGAAAGAAGAGTGAAATTTGTTAATTAAATACTGAAAATTACATTGAGAACTTGTCTGCTTTTATGTGTTTATGAAAAGCAAGGGACAATGTTTATAGGACGATGTTTGCCATCTAATTTCCAGCAAGGGATGCTGTAAACTAATTGGTACACTTGATGACTGGGATGCACATTTTTCTTCCTAGCCTTGAGGAAGCCTGAAAGAATGGTCAAAACTTTTCTGGGAAATTCTCAGATGCTTCTATTTCAGGGTGTATGTCCTTTTTATATATGTTATCTCATGGGTTCTCCAAGTGGGATCTGCAAGTATGCAGCCGCAGTTCAGTTCCTCAGCTGAGCACAACAAGGGAGCCTAAAACAGGGCTGTTACCTCCAGGTGCTGAGGGAACATAGATCAGACCACAGCCCCACTCTTCCTCCTGCTCCTCACTAGACAAATGGAAGGAGGAGGTTCTAGAGGGTATTTTGATATTGGCGCCACCCCTTCTGTGTCTCTTTCCACTGCGGAGCAAGAGGGCCGCATTGGAAGGGCCAGTTTGTCTCCCCTTAGCATGGGGAAACTGGTTTCAGGATCCTGGATCTATAATGAGCTAAGCATTAGGAGTGCTGCAGAACTGGGAGCTGGAAATAAGGCAAAGGATTGGGAATGGGACTGGAAGGGAGGGAAGTTAGAGGGGAGAAGAATCTCAAAGGGCTTTGTAAGCTATTAGGGCCCAAATCTTCAGCCTGTGTAAATTAGTGTAACTCTATTCATTCACTGGAGCCACACTAATGTACAGCAGCTCAGGGACCTGGCCCTGCATCTCTGTGTCTAAATCCGGCACATTGAAATGCAACCACCTCTGGGCTGAGACACAGCAATTGTTTAACAGCCCAAACTATTCAGTAGTTAGGGTAGAAAATGAAGAATACTTTATCCAAATAAAACCAGAAAGGAGGTTTAGATGGAATTAGTTATCCTGAAATCTGATGAGGATACTAGGGCTAACACCCATTTCTGGTGAAAAGATCCATGGGATCTTTTCAGCACAAACAGACAATACTTTAGTTGTACAGCTCCCATCCTACAGACCGCACCCTCAGCAGCATATTAACACAATGCAAACTTAGAATCAGGATTGCAACCTATTGAATCACCCAAACCTCTTCCTAAGCACCTGTTTTTTTTTTTTTTTAAGGTCTTCCATTCCAGTAGTGAGGAAATCTAACCAGGATTAGCTCATAAACTCTGACAAAGTCACAGCTGAGCTGGTGAGTCTGCAGGCTTCGTTATCTGAATGAATGGTTCACTCTTCTCCGGAGTATTTTTTTTTCCTTACCCTACAATCCTTTATAGCGTTCTACTTACCAATTCAGTCTTTCAATTATTTCCTGCAAGAAAATGTCAAAATTAATGTGTACATTTTTGTATGTCCTGATTCCAACAGTTTTTATAGAGTTTAAGGCCAACAGGGATCACTAGACAATCTAGTCTGGCCTCCTGCATATCACGGGCCATTAAATTTCATCCAGATATTCCTATATTGAGCCCAGTGACTTTAGGTAGACCAAAGCATTTCATTTCTCAGGAGAGTAAACTGTTTGTGCCACAGTCAGAGAGAAGGACAGAGTGAGGTGCTACCAATACTTGAGGCCTCTGCAATGGCAGAAAATTAATTGGATGAGATATCCCCAGATGATCCTAGCAGACAATCCACACCCCATCTAAGAGGAAGATGAAAAAAACCCTGATATGCCTGAAAATCTGACCTGGGGGGAAATTCTTTCTGAAACCCATATCTAGTGGCCAGTTTTACCCTAAGAATATGAGCAAGACCAACCAATCAGGCATCTAAGAAAAGAAATTTCTCTGAACTACCTCAGAATACTGCTCACCTCTGTCTAGTGTCCCTCTCCAGCTGTCACCAATCTCTGATGCTTCAGAGAAAGGTGACCCCGCGCCCGAATACATCTGGCCAATTGTGCACTGAGGGAAAAATTCCTCCCTGATCCCTACAAGTGTGTACCTGAAGCCCTGAAGCATGAGCTTAGATGATAATCATCATTTTAATGCAGAGGTACAAGTGTTGTGGGCATGTTGAGGGCAATTCAGAGCTTCTTCTTCTCCCCATAGTCCATGAAGGAAGGGAATTAACATGGGATTCGCAGTGCTTTGTGCCAACCAATATACAAAGAGAGCCCGATTCTGCCACCTTTACTCATGTGGAGTAGTACCTTTCTCACACAAAAAGCATCATTTTACTCCACAGAACTACTTGTGTGAGTAAGGTACTCTTCAACATGAGTTAGGGCAGAAGAAGACATCTAATCTTCTAATTGTATGTAGCAAACTGAAAAGCCTCATCAGAGGCCATTTGTGGTTTAGAATTATTTTCTTTCTTTGTAGTACACCGTTGTTCATGACCTAGTCACAGCAGAAGAAAAATTAGTAAGATTTCAATCTAGTTTAAGGCTCTGCTTCTCCTCTCATGTATATAGTATAATGAGTAACATATCTACCAACTAAGAAACAGTAGATCATACATGTGCATAAATTGAATCAGGCCTTGATTACACTACTATTCTTAATTACATGCATTGGTGTAGCTACACTAATGCAAACTCTAGTGTAGACAAGCAAAGACATTTGTACCAATGGTGATGACCCTGGTGTTTCAAACAGGTAAAAACCACTGTGTAAACGGTGGCTTTGCTTGCCTGCAGCTACACTGTTGGCTGTAGTTGGAGCAAATGCCCAGTCTAGATATTGCTGATGATGCAGGAGCCATTAGTCCACTGGGAGAGGAGCTGCAATCCATTCCCTATACTTTTGAGGCCCACAGGCAACCAAAGGAGAGGAACCACAAGCCCCATTGCCAATTGCTCTAATTCTACCTCCCAGTTCATTGCTCTGCCCTCACACAAAGACCTTCAAAGAATTAATCAGCCCTCTCACAGTCCCACCATCAGTCATGCCCTCCAAACATGCCTCCTTCAGATTCTGCTGCGGCTCCCAATCCCATTCCTCTCCTTAGGGTTGGGTTTCCCTTCTTCCTTCGGCTGCTCTGCTTCCTCATTCTTCTTCTGGTGCTGGATGAAGTCCAGGAGGGGCTGGGACAGTCAGTCTCTCACTCCCAGGAGAGAGGAAGCCCAGAGGGAGTCTCTTTAGTTCCCTTCTCCATCCCCATCTCATCCTAGGGAGGGGCACAGTGCTGGGTGCCAAAGAGGCCTGGCTGCAGAGCTAATTGGGGAGGAGACAGACTGCGGGCTTCAAAAGCGCTTCCGGCCCTTTAAAAGAGGGAGAGGAAGGTGCTTTGCCTGCTCCTTGTGCAGAGGAAGGAGGAAGCCCATTAGCACCTGGGTAGCCCCAAATACCTTCTTTTCCTTAGAAGGTGGGGAACAGGGAAGGACGGCCAATCAAACAGACTAGGGTGACCAGATAGAAAGTGTGAAAAATCGGGACAGAGGGTGGGGGGGTAATAGGCACTTGTGTAAGAAAAAGCCCCAAATATCGGGACTGTCCCTATAAAATCGGGACATCTGGTCACCCGAAAACAGACAGCCTTGTGGGTAGGTCTGAAAGCCTGAAGTCTCTGGGGAAAACCCATACAGGTAGCAACCTGACTTCAGTGGAGTTACATCAGCGTCAAACTGACAGGAGAATCAGGAGAACTCTAATGGCCAGATACTGCCACCCTTACTCATGATTACTAGTAACTTGCTCTGTGAATAGTGCCAGTGGATTTATTGGGATTTTCTACTTAGTGAGGAAAAGTGATATAATCTGTCCCTACCTGTATAAAGTGTGCACAAATTACCATTCTTAAGAAAATCTTGGCCTCTCACAATATCGGCATCTACAATTTCAACACTGATCTCCAATCTTTACACTCCATTTCCACTGCTCTGCTTCCAACATACTGATCTGTGATTCTAAAAGATAAAACTTCTGCCTGGCTTCTCCTGTTCCCTCAGGTTACACTGCACTCTTGAAAGCCTGCCCCTGATTGAGAAAAAGAAATATTGCCCTTTTGATCTCCCCTCTTGCCACACATTGAAATCCAGAGGCTCCCAGATGCTTTTCGCCTCAGCAGCACCTATAAATAGTCTTCACAAATTAAGAACAGACTTCTGCTGTGTGGTCAGTGGAATTACCGTTTGTAAAGTCCACCATGTGTAGAAGTGATTGCAGGGTTGGGGCCTATGTCTGAGCTGGTCTCATATCATTTAGGACTTTATTACACATTAACCTTTCCACTTACTGTACTGAGAAGCAGGCCCACCGACAGGGATGGCAAAGGGGGCAATTGCCATCGGGCCCGGTCGATTTAAAATGGCCCAAGGGCCTCTGGCTGCCACCGCTGCCACAGTACATTGCCCAGGTGGGCTGTAGGGCTCCTAGGGGTAGTACCAGCAGCAGCAAAGGCAGTCGGGCAGGCATTTGGAAGCCCTGGCCATGCCCATTGACTGTTCTGTCCTGGGGCCTGGAATTGCTGTCAGCAGGCCTGCTGAGAAGTTTCAATCATAGACAAAACTTTGAATTAAATCAATTTGAAACAGAGAAGAAACAGACTTTATTCAGCTCCTGAGGCTAATTTACCACTTCCTTCTATGCCATTCATGCTGACCCATTAGACGATGGTTTAATAGGTTCATTTTTTCTTTTTCGCTGCATTTACTGCTAATCATGAAAAGGCAACATTCAAACACAAAGAATATTTTCATGACCACAAAGTAGCAAGAATAGCTAAAGCCTCTTGCAATACAGACTGATCACTCATTGTCATCTTTTGACCAGAAGGAGTATTGATAGAATCTCTTCATCTAAAGCTCTTAAGTATATTGAAATACTCTTGCACCGCTTACCGTAATTTGGTGGTTTTGGAAGATGTGACAAGACTGATGAAAGATGACTTGGCAGCATCTTTGGAGCAAAAGAACAGTCAATTTTAAATATATGATTCTACATGCGATTAAAGGGAAAATTCTGCCCTCAAATGCACATATGTAGCTTTTATTGAACCAAGGAGAATTGTACACACAAACACACACACACACACACACATATATCTAAGGACACAATTTGACCCTGGAATCTAACCCAATAAAATATTGTATGTCAAGTATAAAGAAAGTTTCTACTTACAAACTAAAATTATCAGCAGCAAAAAAGCCAACAAAGTGGCAAAGCGTCCTCCCAGAAAGCATCTGAAATCATAACAAATACCAAGTATCAGAGGGGTAGCCGTGTTAGTCTGGATCTGTAAAAGCAGCAAAGAGTCCTGTGGCACCTTATAGACATATTGGACCATGAGCTTTCGTGGGTGAATACCCACTTCGTCAGATGCATGCCATAACAAATACCCTAGTTTTTAGATTGTACGATGGACAGATATTGGGTCAACACAATAAAATATGCACTCCACACATTCCAAGATCAGCCTTCAGTCAGCTACCATTCTGGTCCTTCAGCTAAGGACCCCAATATTCCCAGATGGGTGATGGGAGGCGGGGGCTGGGAGGAGACCAGTGTCATGGAATGTAATGGAATGTTTACCCCACACATGCCAGGAAAGGGTTAATATGGGCCTGAGAAAGGCCATGGTAGGAAGAAACCAAGGGGACCAGCAGCAAGAAGTTGGACTGAGCAGACCCTGGCTGCTGGTTATAGGGTCCTGGGCTGGAGTTCAATGTAGTGGGATGCCCCAGGTTCCCCTACCAGCCACTTGTATGGTAGAATGAGGCCAGAGAAGGGGAAAGGAAAGCGAGGGAGGACGATGGGGCCCAGAGTCTAGGCTGAAGACCTGATCAGGTCGCGAACATTGGTTTGTTGGACTTCGTTACCCTGAAAGAGTTCCCTTCTCCAACTTTCAAATCCCCTGTCCAAATATATGTCTTGCACAGCCCAAAAAAGCATTCCGACACTAATGAAAGTTGTAATGAATCTACAGAATCCTGGGGAAATAGATGAAAGTCACAGGAGATAGAGAAATTCGTGTTTTTTTGAGAATCAGGTGAGCCATTACTATAATTTCAAACTTGGCACCTGTCTGCAGCCAGGTATCTCAAAAATTCCATTATGATGCTGATCACTTCTGCATTCACAAGTGCGTTCTTTTTTTATTTCATATGACAAGATTCTTATATATTGAATCTGGGCTAATATGCATTAAGAAAAAACAAATGCCAAGGAATATGTAGTACTATGTTTTGAAATTTTCCTCTCCAGCGTAACACATGCCTGCTTGGTGTGGCACTCTATCCCCTCTAGTGCCTAGACCAGCTGGAGATTGATGAGTCTGCTATAGCCTTAGCTAAGAGAGAGATGTATCTTTTAACTGATGCAGTAGAGGCTCATGCATTAAGCTCCAGAGGTCCCAAGTTTGATCCTGGCCATCAATTACTGGAATCTGTTGGCATTACAAGTGATACTAGTTTCAATGGATTTCTTCTATTCCCATCACTGACATTGAATCTAACCTTTTCCCAGTGACTCAAACTCAGAGTTCCAGACCCTACTGAGCTCACTAGGGTATGATCCAAAGCCCACCAAAGTCGGTCCTTAGAGCGATTACTTTAAAAAAAAACCCCGCAAAACAGGTTCATAATCCCAAAAGAGTGTGTATAGGTAGTATGGGGGAGGCGGGGAAGCGGTCATGAGCGTCTCGCCATGTGGTCTTGAAAACAGCTAAACTCTTTTTTCTCAAACTTCCAAATAACAAAAAAGTGCTCCTAAATTATTAATAAATATGCAAAAATTCAACCTGAGAGATAATGGCTTGACAAAACTATAAGCATCTGAAAGTGACCCATTAGAATGAAATAGCTTAGACAATCTTAACTATAAGCAGTGATCTATGTTCCACCTATAATAATAATAAAACTAAACCATAAGACTACAGACAGCAAATTAGCCCCAAAGAATGGAAAAGGAAGCAAGAGTGGATTTCCCAAAGCTCCAGTTCTCTTTTGTTCAGCTTACAGAAACTTTGCTAATTAGGATGTTTGGTTATGCATCAAGTCAAAGAAATAAAAATCTGTAATATGTGCAGTGAATAGCTCTCAAAGATCATCTTTGTCTTTTGGGTTCATTGTGCTCTAAATTTTAAAATTAGGTACATAAAATTACATTTCTTAATTTTATTAGAATTGATGAACCTCAAATTGAAAGGGAAAGTAGCCTAACTAGACAATGTAGTTCTTAGAGGATATTTACGTATAAAGTTTCTTTGAAAGACATACGTTACAACTTAATACAATTAAACTAAAAAAAAAATTTGAAAGTGGTAGTATATCCCAACAGTATTTCCTATATAATTAATTGCATAACTCATATGTCAGACAAGCTAAATTATGGTGCACAATTTGGAATATGTATTTGAACACCTAATTTATGCAAGCTAAGAGAGAATGTGTGCATACAGATCCTGCATTTGCACAGAGCCAGATAGGTATCATATCTGCATCCATACACCTAATTTGCGCACTTGTTTGTTTGCAAATGCATCTTTGCAATACTGCATGTCTAACTTTGAAAACCAGGCCCTAAATGTCATGTTTTATTCACCAGTTGACATTATATACGTGTGTGTGTATATATATATATATATATATATATAAAGCATGATTATAATGAAGATGAAATCAAAATTACCTTGCACACACTGAAATGAGTAAACACATGGACAGTATAATCATTTGATAAACGACATTTCTCACTGCATTGGATTCTATTAAAAAAGGAAACAAATTAGGAATAATAATTCTTTTTTCTGGACATACTAGAAAACAAGTAGTTCCTTCCTTCCAGCTGCCCTCCTCTGAAACTGTGAACCTGAAATTCAGTGAAGGAAAGAGTATTTGTGATAAAAAAGATGCTTTACCAAAAACTCTACCATGATAGTCACCATGGGCCAGCTCCACAGAAGTCAATGGGAGTCTTCAATGGGGGGTTAAATCAAACCCACTAGAGGCAAACCCAATTATTCTATACTCCATATAGACAGACTATACATCTGCATTCTCTTTTTTGAAAGCTGTAAAGTCTGTCGAATCGAGTTCTAAGTGTCATATAAAAATATATTCTCCCACAAAATCTTCCTTAACTGGACAAATATTTTTGATAATGGACATAAGGATGTACATAGAAATGGCCATGAGAAGTATTCATAAATGCAAAATAATCACCTTAACAAATTAAAACATAATTTGTTTTTTAGATTTTGCAATAATTAGAACAGTGTAAATTTACAAATCTCAAAATTTGGGAATTTGCTAAAGGCACCAAGAAAAGTTTGAATTCATCAAAAAATGTCAAGGGGTCTTTTTTAAATGTCCATAACTCAAACAAATTAACAGATTTTTATTTTTATTCACAGATTTTATTTTTAAATCCTCAAAAAATATTTTTACAGTCAAAGACCAGGATGAAATTCTAGCTCCATTGAAGTCAATTCAGAGTCAATATTTCACTCAACATACCAGAAATTTGTGGAAGCTATACTGTACTATTCATATATAGTAAAATCTTAAAACAGGCATTAAATCTAAAGTGAAAATCTCAACATAACTGTATCCAATGAGCAGTTAAGGCACCTATATATTATTATTAATTTATTAGTATATATTATTATATTATATGTATTTACATGCAATATGAGAACTAATGTTAGAAACTGACATATTTTTGAGTGTGCCTGAAGAATTCGTAGGGAGTTGTTTCTACGTTAAATTTTTATTGCAATGAAATTTAGACTTGGTTACAAATGTTAAATAGTTTTTGTGAAACAATTTGAAAATTTTGAAATAATTTTCATTCAGTGGGTTTCACAAGGAACCCACTGAATGAGGTATTTGAAATTTTTCACAAACATTTTTAGTTTCAGATTTTTTTCATTTTTTGCCCCCCCCACACACACTTGATTCTCCCAATCCTATCCCTTACCCTCCCCTTCCCCACCCCCTCCATTTCCCTGACTTTTTTCCTCTTTCAATTTTGCCACTGAATATGGAGGAACAAGAAAAAAGAGGGGTATGAGGGGGGAGAAAATTAAAAAGTTTTAATTTTAGATTTAATTGAAAAAATTGATTTTTTTTCCAAATTAAAATTTTGCAAAAATCTCCAGTTTCAAAAAAGGCCATTTTTCAATACCATGTTTTTCCACTTGAAAAATGTCAACCAGCTCTACAAATAACAAACTGAGAAGGAAAGAACATAACTCACTTGAATAATCCAAAGTCTCTTCATGGAAATACCCATCTACCATAAACTGGGAGCACGGAGAGGAATCACTGAACTGTTTTCTTGACTGAATGAACACCACATCTTTAGAAAAAGAAGATTCATCAGCTGCTGGCGTTTGCCTTTGTGACATCCAGGTTTGGCATTCAGAAGAAAATTCACAGTCATCTGCAAGAGGCACATTTGTAACTTTCCTAGCTCACAGTAATGGAAAGGGGTGGAGAATCTGTGCTGATAGATTTTTAACATAAGAAATGACTCAATCACAAGCATTTCTCTGAACTGTTAGTGATATGGAATCGGCAGACCCATTATATGTAGGAAAATGCAGGGGGAAAGAAGCAGATTAAGGACAAAACTTCATAAATTTTAACACAGTGAGGATATAAAAAGCTCAAACTGAAAACAGCAATGGGCCAAATGATCAGACTTACTACTGGAGTATCTCTCATCGTCACTGGCTTCCTATCCAAAGTCAGTTTCAAAAGGCCCTCCTAGGTTATAAAGATCTCCATGGATTCAAACACTGTTACCGTCTCATGTCACTGGCTCAATTTGCTCTGCAAAATTCTGTTTCTGATCTGTCCTTTAAATCAGTGGTTTTCAAAGTTCGGGTTGCAACTCAGTACTCGGTCACAGAATGCAAGGCACTGTGTCGCCCCTCAGCACCCAGGGACCCTGGTGGCCGGCCACTAAAAATTAGCAGTCCCTATCTGTTCTGACACTGCGCTGTGCCCTGGTAGCGGCCAGCAGCAGGTCCGGCTTGTAAGCAGGGAGGCCACGGGGCTCTGCACGCTGCCCCTGCCCTAAGCACTGGCTCCACACTCCCATTGGCCAGGAACCGGCCAATGGGAGCTGGGGGGAGGGCGGTGCCTGTGGGCAAGAGCCGTGCGGAGCTGCTTGCACACCTCTGCCTAAGAGCCAGACCTGCTGGCCACTTCCAGGGCACAGCGCAGTCCACAGTGCCAGGACAGTCGGGAAGCCTGCCTCTGCACCCCGCTGTGCCGCTGACTGGGAGCCGCCGGAGGTAAGCCCGTGCCCCAACCCCACATCCCAATCCCCTGCCCCAGCCCTGAGCCCCCCCAAACCCGGAGCCCCCTCCTGCACCCCAAACCCCTCGTCCCTGGCCCCAGCCCAGAGCCCTGACCCCCTCCCACACTTCAACCCCCTGCCCCAGCCCAGAGCCCCCCCACACACCCCTCATTCCTGGCTCCACCCTGCAGCCCTCACCCCTGCACCCCAACCCTCTGCCCAGGGCCGGCTCCAGGCACCAGGCAACCAAGCTGGTGCTTGGGGCGGCACCTGGAGGGGGGCGGCGCGGCGCTCCGGCCGCCGGGGAGAGCGGGGCCACAGCCGGGCTCGCCGCCCTCCCCCCGGCTCTCTGGCCGCCCTCCCCCCCGGCACCCTCCCCCCGGCTGCCGGGGGGAGAGCGGAGCCCCTGCCGGTGCTCGCCGCCCTCCCCCCAGGGCTCCGGCCGCCCCCCCCCCCAGAGGGGGGGGGGGGCGGCCGGAGGCTTTTTTGCCTGGGGCGGCAAAAATGCCAGAGCCGGCCCTGCCTCTGCCCCAACCTTGAGATACCTCCCACACCCGACCCCCCTCATCCCCAGCTCCGTTGGGTCGTGGACATCAAAAATTTTCTTCAACTGGGTCACCAGAAAAACAGTTTGAAAACCACTGCTCTAAATGCTGATTTGAGCAGAGGCCCCCTGCAAAACCAAGGAAATTGTTATCCACCTACAGTGATCCCGTCATTAACAGACAAGCCTAACTAAATACAGAACATACCAGTGATGTTACTGTGGGCTTACCATTGCCATAGTGCTGATTGGCATCTAGTTTATTATCTCCATCATTCCAAATCTCCTCTACATGAGGACAATCCATATTGCTAAGGACAGTGCTGTTGAGCCATGAATCCGAAGCACTGAGACTGAACAGACTAGCAAGAGAGCGACGGATTTTCTTCCTTCTCCTGAATATTCTAGAAAGGAAAGAAATAACCATGTTTTAAAGGGATGAGGCAAAATACTTTTATTTATAAAACAGTATAACAGGGTTCACGCTGCGCCCCTGGGTATTTAGCCACTGGGCCTCCCCCTTCAATGAGTCAGGGACACTTTAGTATGGTGCAACACCCATGCTCTTTATTCTCAAAAGGTTTCCCACCACCAGTTCCCAACTATATACAGGCTTCACAACTACTTTGCCTACAACAGACTAGGAGGCTCCCACTTCCTGCTGTGCTGTGCGGTTCCGGACCCGGACCTTGACCCTTTCCCTTCCCCCCTTCTCTGGCTTCCTCTCAGCCCTTATAGCTCTGGGCTAATAAGACTGGCAGGTGTGGCCAGCTACCAGGCAGGCACAGGGCTATTCACCCATTCCCAATCCATTCCCCTTGATTGGGGCTGGAGTGGCAGGAGCTGATTAAGAGCTTCTCAGCCAGCATCCTGCCACAAACAGGAACACGGTCTAGAGGTTAGAGTAGAGGCCTACGACTCAGGCATCTTGCGGTCTGTTCCTTGCTCTGCCACAGGTTCACTCTTGGGCTTGTCATTAAATTTCTCAATGCCATTGTTTCCTCATCTGTAAAATGGGTCTAACAATGTTTACTTCTTTCACCAGGGTGTTCTGTGGTTTAATAGTTTCCACTGTAACATTATAGGGCCATATTTTACAATCCTTCCTCAGGTAACACCACTATTGAAGTCATGTGGAAGTTTTGCCTGAGTAAGGATTGCAGGACAGAACCTGTATTTTTAATTTTCTTTTTTATTCTCCGTCATGGTAATACCCTCTTGGGAGCAGGACAGTAACACTTCTTTTTCTGCAGTGTCCCTCTTCCTTGGGCAAACCATTTGTTTTGCTGTATTTCTAAAAACTGCAGCTTTAGGTTTACAGTTCTGCCTGTGTCCCATCATCGATTAACTCTCTAGAAAGGCATCCACACAGAAACAGTGTTGGTTAGTTTTGAGCTGCTGATGAGCATCAGAAGGAGACCCATCACAAATGTATTGGGTTATGGCCACAACAAAATGGATCAGTGACTACCCTCAATTTTTTAAATTCTGGGCAAGTGAGTGATGAAATTATAAAAATAAAAGTTGATATTTAGAATCCAGAGGAATTTCCATATCAAATAAAACATGTTTTATAGCAAATACAATTTGGAGCCTTCCATATGTAATATAGCATTAATTTATTGGATGAAATCATGAAGCACAATTCAGTTTTTGCTCAGTCCTCACTCAGGCAAACCTCCTAATGAACCACTGAAAATTACACATTTGCTATATTTTGAAAATTATGATAGTTTGAAGGTGAGACAAACAAAAAAATCTTGAATTTCTTTAAAATGTCTGTTATGCCTACTTTTGGATTTGCTCTTATCCTTCTTTTATGCTTGGAAGAATTGAAGTCACCTCTTTGGAACATTAAATATTTCAGCAACAGGTGAAAAGCCATGAATTTCTGGGCAGCTGTACCTCTCCTTTATATTTACTGCAGAGAGCGCCAATCACAGTAACATCTGTGTGCTTAAAACTTTTGAGATAATGTTATAAGGCATGACTCTAAAGACCAAGTGATTTTAACCACTGCAGTCTCTCTGAATTATACTACTTGGTGTGTTCCATCGTTATTAGAAAATGGAATCCAGGTATAGAAATAAAGGAAGGAACTAGACATAGAATCATAGGACTGGAAGGGACCTCGAGAGGTCATTTAGTCCAGTCCCCTGATGTACTGAGCATTATAGTCATACCCTGACAGCCAGCCAGAAATCAAGTTAAGTCCAGAGTTATAACGCCAACATCCAATATTAAGTAAAATGTGTGTGACTCACTTACCTAACTAATTTCTCCTTATAGGTAACACTTGTCTGTGATGGGGTCAGTGTTACGTTACCATCTTCATCAGACAGAAAACTGTCTTCCGTCAAAATGTAATAGCCATTAGTAAGAAGCCGAGGACTACGGCGACATGTGAAAACAGAGCCTGTCAAGGGGTTTATGGAACAACATTCATAGGAGGTGTCACTATCCAGAAAGGCATAAGTGTAACTGAAAAGGAAAGAAATAAAACCCTCTGAGTTAATATATGTCTGTTTAGCACAGGGGCATAAATGTTAAAAACCGATTGAATGATAATGTTTTTAGATATCAGAGGGGTAGCTGTGTTAGTCTGGATCTGTAAAAAGCGACAAAGAGTCCTGTGGCACCTTATAGACTAACAGACGTATTGGAGCATAAGCTTTCGTGGGTGAATACCCACGTTGTCAGACACATGTAGTGGAAATTTCCAAAGGCAGGTATAAATATGCAGGCAAGAATCAGTCTAGAGATAACATGGTTAGTTTAGTCGGGAGGATGAGGCCCTCTTCTAGCAGTACACATCACTTTTCATTTGAATAGCTCCCAGAACACTATAGAGTTGTGTAACAGGGTGGTTTGCCCTTATGGACTAGAGGCCTGGGGACAGCCAGCCCTGATTACTAAGGAGGCACGCAGGAGCAAGGCTCACCTGATTGCCCTATAAAGCGCATCAGGAAGCTTCAGAGAAGGGGTGGGGGCGAATGCTCAGAGAGAAACAGACAGAGGGAAGAAGCTGCAGGAAGTGAGTCTCTGGCTGTGGTCCCTTCTCCAGCTGGGGACACTGGGAGTTGTGGCTGGGTAGGAAGCCCTGGCTGGAAGATTTGTTTTCTCATGAGAAGAAAGCAAAGAAGGCAGGCCAGGCCTTGCATCTTCTCCAGCTGCTCAGAGAGAAAAAAGACATCGTTCTCAGGAGGAGGGGCTGTTCCCAGCTTAAAACTGGAGTGGAAGATGTCTGTTTATTTGTGAACTTCTTGTGAATAAAATCAGACCCTAAGGTGGGCTGTTGTTATTGGATTCATGAAAGCCTGTGTGGAGTTTATCTAAGAAGCCCCTTTAAGGGGGAAACTGAGGCAAGGGGCTGCTTGTAGGGCCACTCTGAGGCCACAAGGATGGAGGAGGCCACTCTCTCACAAACTGTAAATGATATACAAACTATGCACAGAGATCGCTTCACCCACCACTGAAATGCAACCATCTCTGGAGTGAAATGTAGCAACTGTTGAATAACACAACACTAGACAAGTATTTAAGACAGAAGTGAGTAACTTTTCCCACTGGAACACAAGGGGGCTGTTAGGTAGGCATAATGTATGTTCCTGATTTTGGAATTGGGCCCCAATCCTGTGAGGTGCTGAGTACTCACAACTCTGAGTGACTTCATTGGGATTTGAGAGTGCTCAGCACTTTGCAGGGTCAGGCACTAATCCCGATATACATTTGTCAGTATCGTACAAGCAGCTATAGATCTTTCAGCAAACAGTCCCAGAGATAGTGGGAAACTCATCAAGTTCTTGAAAACTGGAAAGAGGTGAGTAATAGATAATTGTAGAAAGATCTCTACCAGGGACAAGAGATGACAGTATTGTAATGCAAGGGCTAGGGGTGTGCATGCACCACTGCCCTCTGCTGGACAGAATTTGAAATGAACAACTGTGTCATATACCATATGCTACAGCCACTTCATAGGGATTCTGCTTTAGTTCAAGTGGTTGGGGCCTGTGTATTTCAAGCAGGAGTATCTGAATTCTATCCCCACTGTAGCTTTGACGTTTCAAGTGGCCATAGATTTGCAGCACAGTGATAGCTGTGAAACGCAATGCGGCCATGCTTTAGTGTGGTAATAGCACCCTAATCATAAATAGTTTAAATAGGAATTTTAGAAATGTTTTTCAAACACAAAGGAAAAATAAAATGAAACAAAGGATAGTTTTACTCCATACCTTGGCAAAATGTGTTCAGGGGACAGACTTTGCCTGGGCTGTTTATCAAACACTGAAGAACCTGTTGAGACAAAGACCAGATAAGGAGAAGTCCCAGCTTCGGCTCACCACACAGACATTTCAAGCGACAGTTGAACCAGCTGACTGGTTTTCACTAACAATATGTCTTGATGAAATTGAAAAGAAAAAAGGAGAAGAAAATTAGGAAAGGAAAAGAGACTAAAGGAAAGAAAACAGAGTGATGGTGGGTAGATAAAATGAAACCTCATATAATTTAGGCTTGAATAGCATCATTCCAAAAAGAGTAGCATGAATCAAAGCTGATTACAGTCAATAAATCCAAGCTGCCAATGTACTGCACAGTTTTGTGTCTTGTGGGAAGTAAATCCAGGCACATACAAGGGAATAGGTCCAGCACTTTTAATGGTCTTGTCTAATTCACATCATTAACAACTCACTCACTGATTGATTCTACCAGAAGTGCTCAGGTTCTCCTATAACAATTATGTGGTGGCATTAATGGGTCACACCATTACTATGATAAGGTATCATGCAAGTGGGCATCTGTAGATGCGGCACAGCAGGAGCCGTTATGGCAACAATGGCAAAGATTTGAGGATAATGATTGATCACAGGACTATGGAGACATCTAGGAAGTAGGATTTCGATGTTATGTGAAGGCTCAAACCTGCAAGGTCCTACGCTCAGTGTCACAAGGATTAGGTGATTAAGTAATCTGAGTCTATGATGGGGTTTACAAACTCCTCTCTACAGCCGAGGCAGGGGAAAGGCTGGAGCAGTACGGAGCCAGGAAAGCTCTGCCCATCATGCACTGCCAAGCATAGTATAAAAAAGTTTCAGCAGCTCGGGAGTGGGGAAGTGAAAAGTCATTTCCAGGAGCAGTGTTGTGTCCTGAGAGAGGAGGAGAAGGAGCGCTTACTGAGGAGGTCTGGCTGTGAGTCTTTCCACCCCTCATTTGAGGCATCACTCCAGCAATAGGGAGGACTGTGTGCAGAAGCACCAGAGTGTTGCCTACATCAGTCCTGAGACTCTGGGGTTTGGAGCAATGGACAATAATCAAATAGCAGCCAGGCCCCAAACTGAGACATTGGGTGGGGTAGGAAGTGGTCCAGGCAAAGGTGATCAGGAGATGGGCCCAGTGTAGGCCAGCCCATGCTATCACATTTCAGGGCTCTGGTGGAGCGGGAGGGCCTGGGTCCCCCTAATCACCCCAGATTCCCCTATGCCTAGCCCTATGATGGGCAGGAATAGGGGGTTACAGACAAGAAGGCTGACCCAGCTGAATCCCATTCATGGAATCCCTGACACATTGAACTGGAAGAGACTAGAGCCATAGGCCTGCAGACTGAAGAGAGAACCCTGCTACAGAGTCATTCATCCACAAAAGGAGATGGGTCTAGAGATGGGATCTGGGCTCACTGATGAGGTGAAGTGAAGAATGGAGGGGGACATTTTGGGGAAAAAGGCAACCGGACAAGGCTCCTGTTAGCGGTGCAACCACATGGAATGGCAATTGTCAGAATATCACACAGCTGTTTGTATGGAACGGTCACAAAGAGTGAGTGTTTTCTATATTTACACATTACAGATTTGTATTTTATATACATTAGTGGCTGCTGAAATATTCTCTTCTTTACAATTTTATACAAAAACCTCTGTAAAATCTTGACTTTTCAATCAATGAGAAAACATTACATTCAAAGAAAGAAATTCATATTCACTTTAGAAGGCAATCCTTCCTGTGTAAGGACACAATCCCTGTTAAGAAAGCCCAGAGAAATGTTCATACATTTACTTGCTGCTGGTGTTGACATTAGTTGGGACATTCGATACATCTTGAAAAGGTCTGTTGCAAACTCTCTGGAGCTACATGTATCACAGATTATCTGCAAGAGATTTTAAAGGAAAGTTGGTATTTATTGAAAACAGAGAGCTGCAAGGTATAATCACGAATGGTCATTACATTACTAATTATGCTGTATTCCATTCAATGTGAGTCTGATCCTGCCATCCTTCCTCATTGATTTCAAGAGCAAATTTGTTCAAATAGGGCCTGCAGGCCCAGGCTCTGGCCCAGGCTCAAACTCTATTTGATCAATTGCAGTTTCCTTGCAATCTGCAACTGTGATCTCTTAACTAATATTTAAATCCATGATGTACAGTATAAACTTACAATTGTCCCATGTGCACTACAGTTTTTACTTTATTTTCTCAATAATATGCTTTTGAATCACTGTTATGTAAAATAAAAAGCACTGAATGAGAAATAAAGTTTACATACAATATCTTACATGTTTCTGGTGCCTTGCATGAGAGAATATCACAGTGCACTTTACAAACTGGTATACAATCTATGGTTTCTACCCTGCAAATACTTAGGCCTGTGAGTAGTCTCATTAAAGTTACTCAGGTGACTATGGTTTATATGTAGGGATCACACCACCCACCACTGAGAGGCAGGACAACTTCAGGGGAAACATAACAGCTGTTTAACAGCATGTAGCAACACTACAAATCTGTTTAAGATAAGATGTGAGGGAGAAATGCATCTCCATATGCAGATTAGTGGGAATGTGATGTATTTCTCCCAATTATACACATCTTCAAGAACAGTTTAAGAGCACTTGTGATTTACAAAGCCATGTTTTTCTGTGCAATGATTTTACACAGAATTGCTTTCCCAGAATCTTGAAAACACTGGAGAAAGTGTATGCACTTCATTTTGCAGACAGCACTTTACACAGTCCCACTTTTATTTATTGTTAGGCTTGAAAGGATTAGATTTTTGTCTGTAAATGTCAGTAAACGTTGACTTCACTGTACACACACACACCAATGAAAAAATATTTTCACTCCTAATAATCCAAATTTACAGATAGGCAAAGTAAGAAAAATGCTGCTTGAGAACTTATTAGCATTTGATTTCAGGATATTTACTTTGTATATTTTGAAATGTGATGTTGATATTTTGTGTTTTAATGGTTATAAAGCTTTATCTTATAGAATCTCAATGTCTACTATCGTTTAAATAATTGTCTGCCCCCCATTGTGTGATTCCCCCTATAATTTCCCACAACTGAAAATTTAAATAAATAAAAATAGAAAAAAATATGCTTAAACCATAATTTCACACAACTGTGAAAATGTAAATAAACAAAAATTTTAAAAAATGCTTACAATAAATATTTGTATGCAGTGTAGTTGTAGCCATGTTGGTCCCAGGATATTAGACAGACAAAGTGTGTGGAAAAAAAACGCTAATAAGTTCTCAAGCAGCATTTTTCTTACTTTGTCTATCTGTAAATCTGAAAAACATTGCTTTGTAAATCACAAGTGCTCTTAAACTGTTCTTGAAGATGTGTATAATTGGGAGAAGTGGTATCTTTTCTTGGACCAACTTCTGTTTGATCTGTTTTATCAGACCAAGCTTGTCTCTCTCACCAGACAGAAGTTGGTCCGATAAAAGATACAACCTCACCCACCTTGTCTGTAAAATAAACATTGATATTATGCATCAAAATAAAAAAATCTAATTCTGCCAAGCCACTATTCATATCAATTGCCACTTTGCAATTACTTTAAATAATACTTAACATTAAGTAATATTTGTGACCCACAACACATTAAAACGAGGCCTGTAGTTCAACAAATACCTTTTAAACTAACATATGACAAAAGGCCAAATATGAACAACCTCACTGAAAATGAAACAAAGCTAAAGGCAGGTCAGCAACATTTTATGGCAATCATTCAAATCAAAGTTTATTGAGTCTACATCACTGCCCAGTTCTGAAATTCAAATCACTAAAATGTAAGCATGAAAGCTTCTGTCTTTCTACTCAGAATGTACAAAACAATTTACTTTAATCACTTTCCTTGGTGATAATCAAACTGGTCCTTAAAACAATGATACCCTCAGTTGGTAACTAGCCAATCCCTTGCGCATGTTGCACTCTACACTGTAAATATTTACATCAATATGTATCAACACACATAGTTAAAATTATTTAAGCCCAAGTATTTAACCTATTCAGATAACAAATATTACTCTCTTATCTTTTGAAATACAATAATGTCTATGAGGAATAATTTTATTTGTTCATACACGTCACTTTTTGAAGGGTATTTTAGTCTATTCTCTTTACTGGAAGTGATGAAAGCATTCATAGAAATGTAAAGCTTCTTGAAGAGCTGACTGTAGATGGAGAAATCCAGGGCTCAGTTATTCCTCAGTTGATCAAAGTAATAAAACATCAACATATGTAAAATCTTCCAAACCTGGAAAAGCCATTTCACTATAAACAAACGTATGCAAGAAGTTTTTCATCAAAAAGAGACTCTGGAATGCAACTGTAGGGTGCTCCTTATGCTGCTTCCTGGAACAGAATAGCTCTGAAGTCTTCGAAAAGGCAGGTCTATAAAGCCCCTTGTTTCCTTTCGAAAACAGACTGTGCAATCAGAAGCAAAGAGGCAGAATGAGGTCATTCTTCCTGTTAAGTAGCCTCACATCACAAGCATTCATTTTGAAGAGTAAACTGAAGATTAAGATTAGGCAAGTGAACAACTCTGCAGGGTGTTGCAAAATGCAAGATATGCCAGCTTTAAATAACGGTTTTCTATTCTATTTATATCATGGTGCACAAAATCAGCACCTTGTCTGTGATGCTTGTGAAAACAAGTGATACAACTTTTTACCATATCTTTTATTTATAAATCTGATACAGTTATGACTCAGTATACTTTACAGTCATGTATTCATAACACTAATGTTGTGAGACTTGAAGGCTTTCATTGCATTACTATGCCTAAAATAATCCTATCTTACCCTCCAAAATCCCTGAATGTTAACAAAATTCCATCCAAGAGCACTGTTGTACAGAGGAAACATCTGTTAATATTTCATAGTGAAGTAACAGGTCAGTTGTTTTTCAACAACCACACCGTGGCTGATCATAACAGAATTATGCAAACGTTAGGTAAAAGTACTTTGGAGGATGAAATAAATATGGCCAGGGAAACATTTATAAACGAAGCCATAGCCACTACACTTCAATGATGCATAAAACGACAGAAGAAAGAATACCACTAATTCCAACTGAAATAAATTTAGTCTGAATGACTAGTTTTAACAATCAGAATTATTGGATTGTAGAATAGTCTCCAAAGGGAAATGGTAGAAACCCCATCACTTGGGTAATTTAAAATTACACTGTTGTAGGGACCAATCCTATTCAGGCAGAGGAATAAAATGACCTGATAAATATTTTCTGTCTCTGACTGCTATGACGTTATGTATATCAGACAGAAGGATAATAGATGAATAGTACTATAAAAGACAAATATGTAATATCCAACTTCATTTTCTTCGTGAAGAAACTGAAAAAAAAAGCCTTCTGTTGATGTACTGACAATAAATGAAAGCAAGCTGCCAAGTTAAAAAAACACAGCAGTAATCTGGCACAGGTTATTACAAAAGCCTTTCAGTATTGCCTCACCCATCTGAAGTGTTTCACTTAAGGTCCTTCCACTCCATACTGAAAACTGAGGGCCAAATTCATCCTTGGTGGAACTTCCTTGACTTCAGTGAATTTACCCCAAGGATTAAATTTAGCCCCAAATGACTAACGCTTTCATGGTTGCATGAACTTTGCAACAGTCTGAATAAAACCACCACCAGCATGAAGTCTTAGTATAGTGGAACAAAGATGAAGGAAACCATTATCTGTTTTGATCTGAATGTCTTGTGTTCCAGAAAAATATGCCTTTACTGTAATTTTACTAAGCACACAAGTATTAAAAATACACATCTGTCTATGTTAAAGATGCACCGTCAACTTTAAAAAAAATCAAATTCCTATCTGAAAATATTGTATCTATATTATAGTGACTCATGGTAGTGTCCCTATAGTTAAGATTGAGTTCTAAAATAGGGCATACATTCCTGTTTTTCTCTAAAGTAGGTGGCCTGTAGATATTGTGATAGACCCAGGCCAGTTGGGAACAGCAGAGTAGCAGAAGGGAGATATACTGGCCACTGGATCCATTGGTAGAGAGGCGAAGGACGGCGAGGGAGCTGACCCGACCAGTTAAGGAAGAGGCACCCCGGGTTAAATTAGCAGCACCAAGCCCCAAAGCTCGGGTGACTGGGCCACCAAGAGAGCCCAGGTGGAAAAAGAGAGGGGCTGAAGGCCCACTAGAGACCACAAAGAGTCGGAGCACTGAGGGAGAAGAGGATCGGGATGTTAGACTGCCCAAACCAAGAGACCGGGGAACGCTTAGGGCTCCATACAGATG